AATATAATATAATAATATAACTTCAATTAATCTAATATGAACTAAACTAGTACACATAAGGTATGATATTTAATGACATGACATAAATAATACAAAGTTAAATTATAAAGCAAAATCTGTGTATAACATTATATTATGCAATGTGATGAAATGTAGAGTGATTTGTAAATTATGAAGTTCAAATTATTAATAAATAATAAATAATTTATTTGATTCATGACAATGTAGCACAATGCAGTGCATTACAAAGTATTTCTGTACATGTAGTTTTAAATGTTGATCTCTTTATGACCCTCTAATTTATATTAGTAGAATTCTATGAGTATACTAATGCAAATGCGGCAATCTGATTGGCTAAGCTACTCGTATACTATCAGCCATTAGAGTGCAGTAGCTGTCAATCGTCCAAAAATGCGACTTTTTTGTCCTTTTTCTGAAGTTTTGGAAGAAAGTTTACATGTAAATAGATAATTAAATTCCTGAGATGACTGAAAAAAGGAAATTGACGGTTTCTTGACTTTAAAAACGTGAAATTATTGAAAAACCGGGTGCACACGCGTAAACAACTGCAAAATTACTAAGGACAATTCAATACGTGTGATTTTGTTAAAGCCTGAAGTTCAATAATGTGGAGAAAAATAATTGGAAACCGTTATTTGCATTAATTTTAGTTAGAATTCTACTAAAACAATTAGATTATTCACTCTCGATTTCTATGAGGTGATAGTTGATTCTGCCTTTGGCCTCATCATCTATCACTTCATAGAAATCTCTGCTCATAATCTAATTGTTAAATGTCAAGCAGAGGTGGACACCTAGAAATGGTTTTAGTTAAGTTGTATTTTTCCATGAGAATACTAACTAAACTTACCCTGTTGAAATAATAAATTTGTTGAAATGAGGCATAAGTACAAAATCTGTTATCCACTTAGTTTTCTTAGTTGAGTTTTCAACCTAAGAATAATGTATTAAACAAGTGTTTGTTAAAAACTTATTTCAACTGGCAAATAATAAAACCACAAAAAACAACAACAACAACAACAGCAACAAAAGCAAATCAATAAAGAAACACATGATTTAACAGTATCTTTTTAGCCTGTTATCAGATAATGACTATAAATACTCACATGAGCATGTTTCATTCTTTTAAACTCCATATTTTGGGACCAAAATGAGACAAGACCATCCTGCAGAACAACAGTAATTATTAGAAACACAACAAGAAACACTTTTTATTATGCCCAGTGGAATAATGTGCTGCTACCATACTAGTAAGTGGGAGGCNCTGGGGGTAACCCTGCGATGGACTAGCATCCCATCCAGGGGGAGTAGAATACTCCTAGTCGCTTCATGCTACAGAAACCGGGATAAGCTCCGGCCTGATGGGCCACTTGGCTCGCATGCAGTCTTTACCTTTTACCATACTAGTAAAGGAATGGCAAGTGTACCTTGCTGACGACAAGGAAGTTGTTGTCTGCCGTATTACATAGTCGTATAACATGTTCCCTCTGAGATGAGTTGGAGTTTTCACTCATTGCAATAATCGCAGGCAGAGTGAAAGCAGTCTGTGGAATAAGAGATATACATGTACATGTATTACCCAATGTATAATTAGTTATTCTGATTCTAAAACTCTTTTATGGCTGTACAGTGTAGTGTGAAACATTATCTAAGGTCACAATATTAAACTATAAATTAAACTACTTTGGCTACACAAGCTCTGCAAAAATTTAAAACCAATTAGTTTTTTGAAAGCATTGCACCTTTTATTTTCAAAATAAATGCAATTTTTCTGACTGAATTTAAAACGTGTTGACTAGATTACTAAGAGATTTCAGGAGTTTATTCCTAGGCATGATTTTCCACACAAATCCATGAAGTATACATTCAAGCAAACACATGTACAGTATTTTCACGCACCTCTTTAGAACGTAAGTATGAATCCTCTTTCTCAGCATATTCAAGCTGCATAAAAGTGCAGAATTCATCCTGATCCAGGGAAGAAAAGAAAAAATATCATGCAAAAACAAACAAACAAAAAAAACATAACAAAAAGAATGCATCTGATTCCAGCTGAAGATATGACAGCAGGGATGGTACAGGTACATGAAGATGTATCCTTTCCAAGAATGCAGTAATGATATAATGTTCCTGACCATCTTGAAAACACAATTTGAAATAATGGCTGCAGCTTTTTTACTTGCTAAGATACTAACTGTGTGGCAGTGACTCTGTCTGTGTTATTATCAGATATGCAAGGAGTTTACATTTTTTACATGTAGTCTAATATGTACTATATCACATGTAATACACATCTAATTTTATTGTCTTCAATTTATAACAACTGAAGGCAACTCATCTCTAAATTAAACACAGTTGATACATGACAGATTAAGGAATTTTAAATTTCCTAGTTTTAAAGACACAACAGACCAGGCAAACTGCAATCACCACTGCTTGTCTCACAGCACTCTGTAACTAGGGTGTTGTACTTTAATTCAAAGCTCAGAACCCATAGAACTTATAATTTCTTATTCTTAAACCAGATAAGACAAGTAATGGTAATATTTTTTTTACTAACATTGAACATCGGCAAAAAATATATTTCAGTCGATCTTCATGTACTTCATGAACCATTAGACTTAATAAATTATGCTTTCTCACCAAAACCACCAAAACCAGATTACAGCAAGATTAAAGATAAAACAATTGTAAAGTAAAAAGACTGCTACATGTATATGTTAGTTAGAAGACAATTTACCTTCAAGCTGTGAGTATTTAACATATTATACAATCATGTACATTTGTTCCCCCCAATGTTAATAAGTAAAGGTTTTAAAATGCAGTCTCCAATGTTTAAATTTACATAACTGTAAAATATAATTTTTTGTTATTACAAACATAGTGACAAAAAACCCAGCAGGTGTCAAGCATGTCTCACATCAGCTGATTACTTCACAACTTCACATTTCAAACAATTGACGCAAACAGCAATAAGCATGGACAAACAATTATTATGTTGCCTAGCCAACAACAAGCACTTTTGATGCGACAAATTAAGAAAAGTAAGCTTACCCAGTTTATTTCCCCATCTGATGAAGAATCAATTTTCATGAAAAGAGCAGTAACCTGGTCTTCATTCTGTGCTCATGGAATTAAAATAAAGAATCCCACACATTAATTAAAATTGACCAGTGAGGCCAAATGGTACCCATGACATGTCCTTGTAAAATAAATTTAATATACTAGATAAAAATAAACTTTGTCTATCCTAACTGGACAGTCTGTCTACATTAGAAAATAAACTTAATTCACTGCACGTTTCCAATAAGAAACAGTATGAAATTTGTCATCAATCATAATTTTTAGCATTCATTTTGAACACCTGCATCTGGCATTCAATAAATTTAAAGACCACAAAAACAACTTTACTAATTATTTAAATTTTTTAAATTGTGGTCTGAAATGAAAGCAGCAAGTGACAACACTTATTACCCATATATGGTAAAAAACAATGTAATCACAACCAATCAAAAGTCCTTCCATTTCTTATGCATTTATTGCAGTTTGTAGCAGCACTAATTGTGACAACAGGGTCAAAATAAACACCGCATTAAATTTATACTAATGTAGTAAATTTGCATGTACTGAGTACAAGTAATTGAAACTGTGTTCACCAAATGAATCAACTGCTACTAACAGTATAGAGTCAAGTTCACTCCATGAGATAGAAAGCGTGATGTTCTCTCTGTGAGCAGGAAAAATGATTGCCGAGCTTGTTTGCTCCAAGGGGGCTGTAAAATGTCTTCTTAAGTAATTAAGAAGGTAGCACATACATGTATACATGTACATGTAGTATTAATGTACGGTAATTTTGTGTAGATAACAATCACACTTATTTACTACAGTAGTTTCTACTTTCACTTGACAGAAAAGGTAATAACATCAACTTGGCAGTAAGAACCTCAGGGCTGTCCATAATGGTTGTGACTGTAACACATGCTACAGCTGTATCAGAATTGTTTAATGGGCCCTTGATGTTATAGGTGAACATGGAACAAATAGGCAATTTATTCCTAATCAATTTCCACTTTTGTTCTCAATTTTTCATCTCAAAAAGCTATTACAAAAATTGATCAAAAGCCCATTCTGCAACACCTTAAAGTGCACCTAACACCATTTTTTTTCAGTACAACAATAAAACATGGAGTGGACTACTTTTGAGTTTAACAGGGCATGGGTCGAGGGCTGGATGTGACGTGAAATCGAAAACACAATGATTCTGTGACGTGAAGTATATATGAAATAATTCATACTTGAACTACGGTTGTAGATGAAAGTGAAGAATGATCATTGCAGTAAATTTTCCAATTTAAGCAATTGGAAAGAAGAACCCTGAAAAAAATCAGGGCTTCACCGGGATTCGAAACCTTGACCTCCGCAATACCGGTGCGATGCTCTCAATGTGTGGCTTCATAGCTCAGTCGGTAGAGCATTGCGCCAGTATCGCGGAGATATTTTATTGAGAATATTACAAACCTTGAATTTAAAATGAAATAGATTGGTGATAACATCTTTGAATTCTTCCAGATCCAGAGTGCCATTACCATCTGAGTCCGCTTCCTATGAAGAAAATTTCAATAATGACTTTATGATATAATTTATGACATAATACAGTGTGAAGTAAATAATTTAAAATGCAAAGTACAAATAAAGAAAGTTGTTGTTCTTCTTATTTTCAATGATTTTTTATGCATTTTGTGATCCAAAAGCAAGATTACAGCAGCCCTAATATTGTTTCTTTCCAAGTACAGTTGAAGGGGTGCTTGGAAAAAAGCCCTAAGTGACTCTTGATCTCATGTCAAATTCTCCTTTTCTGTACAAGGAAGTGAAAAGCAATTTGCTAGGAGAATCTTGCAGTCTATCAGATGTCACTTAGGGTCTTTTCCAATGCACCCCTTCAGTTGAACCTCCACTAATGGCCACCTCTCTATAATGGCCACTTTTTTGTCCAAGCAGACGGTCCAATTACATTCACCCTTATTTTAACTTCTCTGCAACGTCCATCTGTCCACAACTGCAACTGCCTCTAAAGTACGCCTCAAATACCATTTAATAACCTCTTGACAATGGCCAGTTAATACAAAATCCTTTTTTTATTGGAAAAGGTCACAAAACTTGATCCATACCGATATGCATACATGTAGTTTGATTGTGTAACACATTTACATGTCACACTAAGCATTTTTTAAAGATAAAAGTGTTGAGCCTGAGAAAAAAAAAAAACTGGTGTCATGTTACACTCTACCTCCCCATAAAGACCACCTCACTACAACGATCACTTTTCTTCTGTCCCCAAGGTGGCCATTGCAATTCCAAAATCTTCCGGTGCTGTACATGTGGTTCTTATCTGGACAATAATTGTCCAGTCCAATTATTGAACTGTGACTTACATATATGACTGACTGAAGATATACCCAGAACAAGTAACTATACAATGTATTGGATATTTTTGATGACACAGAAAGAAAGGCAATTGCACCTTCACAGGATAGATAGTTTGAAATTTAATCTGCATTACATGTATGTTACACGCAGGGATTTGATTTGATAAGGACTCACAGATCAGAGTTGATCTTACCTCAAAAGCTTGCCTCATTTTATTCAAGTGGTCCAGAGTAATTCTGTCCTCAAGCTAGATAATCAGGATTAAAAAAAATACAATCATGTATATAACTACATGTATATATGACTTGAAAGAAATGCCCTAAACCATAATTTTACGACTGAAAAAAAAAAAAAAAATAAATAAAAGCTTGTACACTACTGTAAGGTCTGGTTCACACTTGTAACATAATGACATAATGGAAACTGCCACGCAAACATAAAAAGGATGTTATGTTGTTGTCTTAAATGTCACCAACATGAACAACACAACATAACAGCATAAGGAAGAGATCTATTTATCTTTTTGTTATGTTGTAATGTCAGAGTCATTACGGTGTTATGTTGGAAGTGTGAACCAGGCTTAAACGACTGGCGGTTAGAGTTGCATCAGGATTTAGAATGCAGAGACCCTGGAAAAATGTGAAAAGAAGATTTTAGACTCCAAGACGAAAATGAGACTAAATTTGTGAGTCACCAGAAAATTCTGAAATTTTGAAATTGGATCAACAAAAGTTTACGAAACCCATGATTTTCTAAGTACTATTGCCATGCCACTTTTAAAATAGGACAAACAATTTTCTAGGGAGTGTTGAATTGTAAACGACGCAAAAAAAATTTAACCAATCACAGACAGTGAATTGATCACATTGTCCTATTAACAGCTTATCAACACAGCTATAAATATTAAGATATGGGGTGTTTCAAGGAATTTAATGTAAATTTTCAACGCCCTGTAACATGTTTGTTGGTAAGGATTGCCCTTGTTGATCCACAAGAAAAAAAGTATATATATGTATGTGAAGTTATCACTTTCTTTCCAGAAAACAAAACTCACCTATTCTTCCTTTTCACGGAGAATTTTTAAATTTCGTTAATGGAATTCATTAACATTATTGACACTTAGTAATTAGTGAAACAAGAACAACTTCAAAGCTCATTGAATTAACATCCATTTGAACAGAAGAAATTTAGTATAAACATGATTACAAAAAAATAAGCCACGATCATAACAAAAGGGAAATAATATATACAAAGTCTGAGATTCAGTATAAGAAAACTGCACCAAGAGCGCGTGTAGACAATGAAGTTGTTTTCTTGAAGTCGTCAAACCAAACGTGTAGGAACAGCCACATGAAAGAATATTGAGATGTAATGAATAAAACAGACTGTGTGAATTATTAAAACTTCCACAATCGCATACCTAGACTCCGCATACAGACACCAAAAATTTTCTCTTTATAACAGTGTTCAATTCTAAGGCGGGAAAGATCAAATTTCAACATTCGAAACCCTTCTGCATGCTTCGATGTTCTGCATGCACAAGCTGTAGATTGAAAAACAATTTACCTTGATTTGCTTTGAAACTCCGACGGCAGTGGCTGGTCTCTTTGGTTTTTCATGTTCCTCGACATCTTCCAAGCCACCCAAAGTAGCTCTCCTTCCTTGTGCTCCTTTCAAATCATTCTCGGGTATGCCACCAAAAATTTGTCTTCCTCTTAACTTCGAAGTGATCGGGACCCCAGGAACATGATGTCTCGAAGTAACATACGTAGGATCGAGTCCCAGTAAATTTTTCCCCGGCGCAGTGGCTGGTCTAAGATCGTCCAGTAAGTCAACAAACTCGTGAGATTCTAATGCCCCCGAAGCGGTGGAAGGGCGAACCTTTTTCTGCGTCTTTACTGGCGGCATTTTGAACACAACCAGTGTTCGAACTGTTTTGCTGCTCGAACGAGTGAGAAACTAAGTGCTGATTGGCTGACTCGTTGCTAACGGTCCCTTGACAACCGTTTTGGTCCATCTCATCAGAGCGCTGACATATTTTAATTCAGTGAATGTTTTCTCCCTCCTCTAAGTTTTCACTTCTCTTTCCAGAATAAAATTTCCACCTCATTACATGTAACAAGCCTCTCCTTTTTGTAACCGAGCGTGCGAGGTTTATGATTTTGCAACAAAAAATAAAGCAAAAACTGACTTTCATCAGGCCAGGAGCTAGGAAAGCTATGAGCAGACAGTGGAAAAAATAAAATAGCAAAAAAGGTGCAAACATTTGCCAGACTAATTTTTTTTTCTTTTCAATTCTTCAATACAGACAAATATTTCCGTTAGGCAAAGTTATCGAGGGGCTAGGAAAACTAAGAAAAAAAAAGGGAAAAGCAAAAAAGCTATTCTTGAATTATCTTCCATAGTCCCTGGTGAACTGAGGTAAGTTTGGCTTTATATTCACATTACAACTGCTGTCAGTAGAATTTTAAACTAACTGCCACCCTTTCAAAAAATACACCCATCTTTACCTTGGCAATAATTAGTACTGAAGGGGAATGGAGCGAAAATGCGATAGCTGAAACAAGGGTCAGTTTTAAGCTATTTGAAATTCAAGCAACAAGGGGAAAATGTCTCTCAATAGATTAGTTTAGTTTTGAAAATGTGTTTGAAATTAAATGCAAATGGTACGAAAATTTCCTAGGAAAGTTTCCAGACAATTCAAAAATTATTGATCGAATTTCCCAAATGCGAACCATTCAACCGAAAAACCCAGGAGGAAATCAAATGGAACAGAAATTCCCAGTCAGAAATGTTCGGAAATTTTGGTACCCTTTGCGAGGTTGTCTTTTCTTTGGAAAATTCCTGAAACTACTGTTCCACCCGCCACTAGAAATTTCCGAATCTCCCCGCCTCCGCCCCCGAGTATCCCCTGAGGATTTCTCATTCTCATTCCCAGGCTCTTGGAGCGGGAATGGGGATTTATATAATGAGGAATGACCATATAGGGGAATCCTTGTTTACAATACTTGCCTCATTAGCATAAGCAATTCAGTTTCTGATGGACGGCTACAAATAAATCAGTTCTGAATATTGAAAGCTCATAGTGCGATTAACTCTGCCAATGAATATGAGCCTGACGTATTGAATACTTTCCGTGCAACACGGTTTTAAAAACTCCAACTTTTACAAAGAATGTGTGAGCTTATTAGCGCTTTTGCCACCCATACATTTTGCAGTTTTTGAAAGATAATTTCTCCTTGAATATTACACCCAAAGTGCTAAAAATTTCACCATGTATTAAGTTCGTCTAGCTCTCTAGCTTCCTGGAGTCAATTCATATCTGACATGTTTCCTTCTGTACACAAAGCCGTATGCAAATGAGCAAAAATGTAAGCAATGACGTCAGCATGAATCTTCCCATAGAGGCTGGAAGTCGCTAACAAACCTTTTTGGCATTTTACTCCAGGGGAAGAAATAATAGCTACACTTCACTTAATTCTTTTGGTACTCGTCCCCCACAGATGTTTGTGGAATCTAATAAAAAGACTGATTCAATCAAGAATAATTCAATCTTTGAGAGAACTGCCGAGAACTTGGTCTCTTGGCAAAATCTTTAGGAAGCACTTCTCAATCAGCTGTAATCCATTTTAATCTGGATACTTATTGCAAAACGATTTATTTTCAGTGAACTACTGTAATGTTGCAGATGCGTGTTAAAACGTAAATCAACCTTTTACTTTAATTAGTTTGATGTATAAGATATGTTAATTTGATAAGATTACATAAAAGCCAAATAAGTGACTTATTTCAAATCATAGTTAGTATGTTCAAATGTAGGAAGATTTGCCACCATTGCGCAACATTTCTAATAGCAAAATATGTGCTTTATTCAGTTTACTCTCAATTGGCGATTCCTTTTATTTCGGCTGGTCTTCTGTCCGTTAACTGAGATCCTTCTTCACAATATCGGCATGCAGCCGCGTCATGAATTAACACAAGAGAAGATAGTTCACGACCAATACTTTGAAGTGCGGAGTGCGGAAACCCACTTTATCCCTGCATCTCTTCAACTTCGGCCAAATTCTTCTGCTTTTTCAACTTCTTCTAAAAAAAAGTGCTCCCGACTTAACTTAGCTAAGCTGACATCTTACAATTTAGGGTTGAATTCCAATTTCTACGTTTTCATTTCTAAAACGAATTGCGTGTCGTGCCTATTTAATTGTATTGATTTAACCTTTAACCTTTTGGCTGTCTGGGCTCAATAATGCGACTAAACTTTATAATTATACCTCAAGCGCGGTTCTATCACGAATGCCGTTCTCTTACTGGCTGGGCGAATCACTATCTATTCTGTAGTAGGTAGTGAGTAGCCCAGCAGTGTGCGGTTGCTAACAAAATTGTGGCCGCTTCTTTGTGTTTTTAAAACGCCTGTGAGGAGGATTAAGATAAAGTTTTGAACAACTAGTAGATTTACCCTAAACAATTAGATTATTCGCTCTTAATTTCTTTCGCCTGATAGTTGACTCGGGCTGCGCGCTCGTCAACCACCCCGCGATAGAAATCTTGAGCTCATAATCCAATTGTTTGTTAGAAGCTTGAGAGCCGTGAAATGTCTCAACTCTAGAATTCCTAATCAATCTACAATCAATCATGATCAAAACACAGGGATTTATAGCTTAAAAGGACTATTGTAGCCCACAGAAACTGACATATTTAAGAAATTTACATTCATTTGTTCGCTGTCTTTTAGTAGATATTAAAAAGACGCGCTTCCAAGCGGGTCGTCTATTTCGGGCGCGGCAGAGGTTTCTGCCTCTTAATTCCGTCCACTCCTAGCTGTCCTTCCTGTTTCTTCGCTCAGGCTAAAGTTCCTCGCTATATCTTCATCGGTGGTCTACTCTCCTTCAGCTATCAATTCTGCCCACTGCATGGCGTAAAACTGCGGTGAATTAGTAATGTGATGGCCCTCGAGACATATGCTAATACAAATCTAGTAATTTTGGCTTATGAAACTCTGAACGAGATTATTCGATAAACCAGTTCAGACAATGGCTAACTGGTTTATAGGAGTGGCCTGAAAATCCTTTGGTATCAGTGGCACATGCGAACCAATTGATCTTGAAATTCCAATCGAAATCTTATCAGACGTCTTTGCCAGATTGGCTAGACTTTACAATTCCCTTAATATACAGAATGCGATTAAATTCGATGGTATTCCTATAGACAGCCATCGTGCTCGCCCAGATGTGTTCAGTGGTCATGTTTGTTCTAAGGTGGTATGTTGGTTTCAGTTATACTAGACCGTAAAACACTTACAAATGCGCAATTTACAGTTCCGCGCGTGCTTAACATTGTTTTTACAAATTTCATTGTAATTGTCACGGTTGTTTTAGTAGTGTGAATCAGACAGACGATAAAACTTGCCACAAGTCGACCTCACGAGTTTCAAGGTTGAATACAGTAAGCGAGCGAGGTTTAAGGCTACATTGTAGATAAAACTCGGATAAACTTAGTTTACCTGGTTATTTATTTGTGTAGCCCATAATCAAGGACACTAAGAAAGAGTTCTTATTGTTGTTACGGACGGTATTGTGTCAAGCTGGAAAGAATGGCCTTTTAATATGCTTGGCTTATTCTAAAATTTATACACGAGTGTCTGTTATATTCTATACTCAGTTAGGTCATGAATCAAGGTGGCTATCGACAGCTTTCTGCATTATTCTCACATACTATCGCTCAATATAATATACAATGCCTCCTTTTTTGCCCCTCATCATCCAAACTTGCCACGATTCGGTGAACGAACCACCGCCGCAGACTCAGAGCTTGTCTAATAATTCCGAAGATTTTAGAGCATGCACAATAAAAGACCAAGAATGGTTTCAGTCTTCGCGCATGTTCAGATGTTCGGGTTATTTCTATTCAAGCTTATTCAGCCCGAATGAAGTATTGTTTCAAGTTATGACGTTTTTGCGAACTATTAACAAGTAATCTAAGAACAATTAGCGGTAAATAAGCTCTAAAAAGGACAACAAAATATAAGTTTTTGAACAATTAACTTGCGACCGTGAATCTTTTATTACAAATTACTCTAGGAATCACGTGATTTACCTATGCTAACCTTAGAAACGGTTTTTTTTATAGAGAATATTCACTTCTTCACAAAACATTTGTATTCTGTGTTAATGTTTTTTTTTAAATTTTCAGAACTTATTAATACATGAAACTCATTTGAAATTCTAGAGTTAATTAGAAAAACAATAACCAACTTAGCAGAAAATGACGAAAAATCGAGTTGTTCATTGTAAGGAGAAGCTTTGTGAAAAATAAATGAAAAATATATTCAGCCAAATCGTTTATGACGTTCACAAAGGCTAAATGCAACCACTCAAACCTTGAACATTTCAGCATTCAAGTAAGATTGAATTTTAATCCCGTAAGACGCAGACGTTCTTAATTGAACTTCCCAAAATTTGCACTAGGACAACAAAGGGTGTGTTAGCGGACCACCTCCTGTTAATTTCGTGTAGGTTTTTGCATGAAATATCACTGGCTGTCATTGAAAATAATCAGTGATTTTTCTGGTCGTTTTTTCTTTTTTAAGTTTCCTTGCTCAAATCGTGTTTTTGGAAAGCGTTAGACGTGAAGTTCCTTGCCGCATGTTCTCAATGTGGTGCGACTCATTACAACTCTTTTGCTTCATTGTCATGGCCATTTTATTACATACAGTGAAATTACCACAAAACGATTTTAATTTAACGGTTCATGTTTAATTCAACAATAGAGGACGTTTTAAGCAGTTTACAAGTCCTCTTTCTTTTTCATGTTAAAACGTATTGACTCATCGGTATCGGTGAATAAAATACTCATGTTTTGAGTGTTGTATGGCTTGAAGACTGAGCTGTTCTTCTCCCCTTTACTCCACTCCTGTTTTAGCAGTCCAGCTTTTCACACAGTAATTTATGCAAAAAAAGGCAGTAATTACTTTTGAGGGAGGAATTTGATTATCGCAAGTCTGTTAATTGTTCAGTTACTTTGAGGGGAAGCAACTTGTCAATTGCCTTTTAAAGTTTGATGACAACTGAACAGTTTAGCTTTTGCCAAGCTACAAAGGCTGAGAAAATGGCCAATTGATTGCAAATATGATACCAAACGAAGTATTTTCTTAATTCAAGAGTCACGTTCTCGTTTGCATCAAGTTAAAACCTCAACGTTGCTACACTAGCCTGCACCCACTTATAATTTAACGTTGGCATGTTTTTAGTTCTTCACAAAAACAATGAGCTTTTAAAACCAATACCAAATAAGATTTGGACCAAACAATATAACGATCTTCGTTCGCCTCAGGAAAGTCTGTGTTAAAGAAGACGATAATTGCATGAAAAGATTTGCATAAGTTGTCTGTAAAAAGGTTTTCTTGCACCGTTTGGTTTTGTCTTTATCCGGCCGAATTAGTTAAAACTACAAACGGGTTACGAATTCCCTCCCTCCCGCCGGTTTGATAGGAAGCCTATTGAACTACCTCCCACAACAGCTTTTAACGGCTGCCGGCTCAACTTGTTTACCACAAGGGCACCAAAGAAAGTGTGCAACATTCGCAAACACAAATGAACAGTAAATATATGTGTAGTACAGATGCTGCTACTTTTTGTCCTGCTTGTAATGATTTTCTGCGCATAATGTAACTTCACCTGTCTGAAATTATAACACAACTGACAAGTCGGAAAGCAATTTTCTTGATAATACATTAAAACGCCAAAGTACATGTATGTCTTGAAAATATACATCAAGTCAAATTTATTCATTTTTAGTTGAATGAAACGTCGACGAGGCGGACTAAATGTGTTTGGCAGTCTGGAAGGACAGCGAGCGGAAAAGATAGATTACTCTTGATTAACCTCAGGAAGGCTTTTCAGTCACACCATCACTCCGTCAAACGTGGACAAAATCAGTTTGTTCTGATAAGCATATTCAAAAGGTAAATCATTCATATTGTGCACATTAATTTTCGTCGGTCAAGTTCATCGATCTTTTGTTAAACTCAGTTTTCAAACGTCCTCAGTTGAGATGAGAATAAATTTCATGCACTCAAGTTGATTTGTTTTGTATCCCTCTTCAGTTTGGACTGGATTCAAGTCGAGTTTCCGTAAAAGAACATTGCGAAAGGTCAGTAATTATAAAACAAAATAAAACCTTCAAGTTCAACGAGTTTTGCATTGAATAAAACAGGACTACAATACAAACGTTTCTCGTAATAAGCGTATAAGTGATGTCGGAGCTGTAGGTGTGGAAAATGGGCTGAACGTTGGAAGAAAGCGTAATAAAATATCTTAAATGTTCACTATGAAAGGAGAGAACAAAAACCAATTCGAAAATGCGAAAACGTTCGTGATACTCTATGGTAAAACTACAAAGCGACAGAGTTTTTCTAGGGCAAAAGAATCATGTTACCATCAGCACACGCACAGCTGCTCGGACAGTTTTCAAAATGTTTATTTGATATTCACTCTAGCCTTTAAAAGCAAGCTAACATTTGTGACAAATGCCAGTCGTGCAACGTTGATCTGTGTCAAGTTATTTCCTTTTGGTACAACTCGTGTAGTTCTCGAGACAAAATAGTCGAAGTACAAAATTCCCTTTCGCATAGCTAATGGTTATCTCTGAAAGAAAAATATACCCAAATGTTATCAGCCGGTGAATACAGCAAGATTCAACCTGTTGTTTTGAGATACGTTACGTAAATACTTTTGGCTACATTTCCTTCTCTATATCCGTTTTGATTTAACCATAATTTTTGTGAGCTAGCTGTTGAGGTCACTGATAATGTTCGAGGGCAACTGAGCGACAAAACGAGAGAAATTATCTCGATATTATCCTCAAGTGATCGCTGCAATAGTTTAAAAGTCAGAATATTTGTTGATTTTATTAGAAAGGTTGGCTCTTCAGGTTATAAACAAGCCGCTGTATCGGAGGAAATGTAGAAAAAAAGCAGCCTCGGGGTTCAGTTCAATTTCTGGTTTACATTACGTTAAAAAGTTTCCGTGCCTTTCAGAGGAAATGCTGTTGACACATTTATTTCTGCAGTGCGAGGTACGATTTTGAGAATTCAGCAAGACAAGCTTGACTACACAAGATGTAACGTTAAAAACCGTTATCAAATTGCCCGGTTCTTCGCATCTTCTAGTACCTTCAATCGCAAAATTAATTTTGAAAGGTGTATTTTATTTAATGGAAAAAGAGTGTTGGAGAGAGAGAGATTTTTCAACCAGTACATCATTTTGCATAAAATCTAATCGTGTTTTTCTGCGACTAAAAGTGTTCAGAAAATTGGGGGCCCTTAACGATGCCTAACAGAAGCAAAACTAAATCATAGTTTACTCAGGAAATCACCCTTCCGACTTGCCAAAGGCAAAGTTGTGCTGCTAGGCTTGTAGAGCCGTTAAAAGGAAGGCCGAAGACAGATTTCTTTTATATTCTGTGTAGATAGAAAGTGTCATGCATTACTAAATGCGTAACATGCAAGTTAAAACTTGCCTTGTGTGACCGACTTGAGATTTAACCACGTTTTATCTGCGTGCCCTCGTTGTTAGAACACTTATTTTAATAAGTTCACGTTTAAAAACATGAAAAATCCTGCAGCTGCCTTCCGCATGCCTTGGTCAGGTGAAGAGATACGATTTGGGGCTCAGGAAAGATTAAACCTAATTATACCAAGTTGCTGAATAAAAATAACAAAGATGATTTCAAGCAAGCAAGGAAAAAATGCGTCAGAAATGTTTCACGTCTGCAATTGTAAACTTATGTTCCAGTGTTTTTAAATGTTCCAAGAGTCCTAGGGTTTTAGTAGAGCTGGGAAAAAGCCTCTTTGCTTGCGCGCAGCCTGTTAACCAATTATTGTGATACGAAAAGATGACAGATCCGGAAAACTAAAACTCGTACGTGCACTCAAAATTTAGGAAGTCCAGTTTCTTCACAATAAAACAAAGTGAAAAATAGTTAAAACTACTCTTTAACGACTCTAGCAAGGCCCGTACTCCTTATTCTTAAAAAAATATAAATAATTAAGAGCAAATGCTTCGTGAGACCTTTAACCAAACAAATTGCATGGACAATAGCACTGGGCGACAGTAAAGTGACAAATAAGAAAACGTGTCATTTTCCTCAACAATTCCTTCCATAGATGACCCAAGACTTGGTTATGGTAATTATGATAATTTTGGGGCGAAATTTGAACAGCAGCTTAAGTTGTTAATTTTTCTATTTGTATGCATGTCACCTAAATGCCTTTTTTCCAAATTATCAAGAAAACAGGGAACTTGTTGAGCAAACAATCAACTGCCAAATCACAAATCCAACGTTAGAGGCAGTTTGAAAAAAATAGTTCTTACGTAGTTCCACATCAAATGACTAATATTCATTGAAATAANGCGAATCACTATCTATTCTGTAGTAGGTAGTGAGTAGCCCAGCAGTGTGCGGTTGCTAACAAAATTGTGGCCGCTTCTTTGTGTTTTTAAAACGCCTGTGAGGAGGATTAAGATAGAGTTTTGAACAACTAGTAGATTTACCCTAAACAATTAGATTATTCGCTCTTAATTTCTTTCGCCTGATAGTCGACTCGGGCTGCGCCCTCGTCAACCACCCCGCGATAGAAATCTTGAGCTCATAATCCAATTGTTTGTTAGAAGCTTGAGAGCCGTGAAATGTCTCAACTCTAGAATTCCTAATCAATCTACAATCAATCATGATCAAAACACAGGGATTTATAGCTTAAAAGGACTATTGTAGCCCACAGAAACTGACACATTTAAGAAATTTACATTCATTTGTCCGCTGTCTTTTAGTAGATATTAAAAAGACGCGCTTCCAAGCGGGTCGTCTATTTCGGGCGCGGCAGAGGTTTCTGCCTCTTAATTCCGTCCACTCCTAGCTGTCCTTCCTGTTTCTTCGCTCAGGCTAAAGTTCCTCGCTATATCTTCATCGGTGGTCTACTCTCCTTCAGCTATCAATTCTGCCCACTGCATGGCGTAAAACTGCGGTGAATTAGTAATGTGATGGCCCTCGAGACATATGCTAATACAAATCTAGTAATTTTGGCTTATGAAACTCTGAACGAGATTATTCGATAAACCAGTTCAGACAATGGCTAACTGGTTTATAGGAGTGGCCTGAAAATCCTTTGGTATCAGTGGCACATGCGAACCAATTGATCTTGAAATTCCAATCGAAATCTTATCAGACGTCTTTGCCAGATTGGCTAGACTTTACAATTCCCTTAATATACAGAATGCGATTAAATTCGATGGTATTCCTATAGACAGCCATCGTGCTCGCCCAGATGTGTTCAGTGGTCATGTTTGTTCTAAGGTGGTATGTTGGTTTCAGTTATACTAGACCGTAAAACACTTACAAATGCGCAATTTACAGTTCCGCGCGTGCTTAACATTGTTTTTACAAATTTCATTGTAATTGTCACGGTTGTTTTAGTAGTGTGAATCAGACAGACGATAAAACTTGCCACAAGTCGACCTCACGAGTTTCAAGGTTGAATACAGTAAGCGAGCGAGGTTTAAGGCTACATTGTAGATAAAACTCGGATAAACTTAGTTTACCTGGTTATTTATTTGTGTAGCCCATAATCAAGGACACTAAGAAAGAGTTCTTATTGTTGTTACGGACGGTATTGTGTCAAGCTGGAAAGAATGGCCGTTTAATATGCTTGGCTTATTCTAAAATTTATACACGAGTGTCTGTTATATTCTATACTCAGTTAGGTCATGAATCAAGGTGGCTATCGACAGCTTTCTGCATTATTCTCACATACTATCGCTCAATATAATATACAATGCCTCCTTTTTTGCCCCTCATCATCCAAACTTGCCACGATTCGGTGAACGAACCACCACCGCAGACTCAGAGCTTGTCTAATAATTCCGAAGATTTTAGAGCATGCACAATAAAAGACCAAGAATGGTTTCAGTCTTCGCGCATGTTCAGATGTTCGGGTTATTTCTATTCAAGCTTATTCAGTCCGAATGAAGTATTGTTTCAAGTTATGACGTTTTTGCGAACTATTAACAAGTAATCTAAGAACAATTAGCGGTAAATAAGCTCTAAAAAGGACAACAAAATATAAGTTTTTGAACAATTAACTTGCGACCGTGAATCTTTTATTACAAATTACTCTAGGAATCACGTGATTTACCTATGCTAACCTTAGAAACGGTTTTTTTTATAGAGAATATTCACTTCTTCACAAAACATTTGTATTCTGTGTTAATGTTTTTTTTTAAATTTTCAGAACTTATTAATACATGAAACTCATTTGAAATTCTAGAGTTAATTAGAAAAACAATAACCAACTTAGCAGAAAATGACGAAAAATCGAGTTGTTCATTGTAAGGAGAAGCTTTGTGAAAAATAAATGAAAAATATATTCAGCCAAATCGTTTATGACGTTCACAAAGGCTAAATGCAACCACTCAAACCTTGAACATTTCAGCATTCAAGTAAGATTGAATTTTAATCCCGTAAGACGCAGACGTTCTTAATTGAACTTCCCAAAATTTGCACTAGGACAACAAAGGGTGTGTTAGCGGACCACCTCCTGTTAATTTCGTGTAGGTTTTTGCATGAAATATCACTGGCTGTCATTGAAAATAATCAGTGATTTTTCTGGTCGTTTTTTCTTTTTTAAGTTTCCTTGCTCAAATCGTGTTTTTGGAAAGCGTTAGACGTGAAGTTCCTTGCCGCATGTTCTCAATGTGGTGCGACTCATTACAACTCTTTTGCTTCATTGTCATGGCCATTTTATTACATACAGTGAAATTACCACAAAACGATTTTAATTTAACGGTTCATGTTTAATTCAACAATAGAGGACGTTTTAAGCAGTTTACAAGTCCTCTTTCTTTTTCATGTTAAAACGTATTGACTCATCGGTATCGGTGAATAAAATACTCATGTTTTGAGTGTTGTATGGCTTGAAGGCTGAGCTGTTCTTCTCCCCTTTACTCCACTCCTGTTTTAGCAGTCCAGCTTTTCACACAGTAATTTATGCAAAAAAAGGCAGTAATTACTTTTGAGGGAGGAATTTGATTATCGCAAGCTGTTAATTGTTCAGTTACTTTGAGGGGAAGCAACTTGTCAATTGCCTTTTAAAGTTT